AAAAGTGGCTGATACAGTGGTACCTCAAGTTACGAACTTAATTTGTTCTGGAGGTCCGTTCTTAACCTGAAACTGTTCTTAACCTGAGGTACCACTTTAGCTAATGGGGCCTCCTGCTGCCGCTGCGCCACTGCCACCGATTTCTGTTCTCATCCTGAAGCAACGTTCTTAACCCGAGGTACTATTTCTGGGTTAGCAGAGTCTGTAACCTGAAGCGTCTGTAACCCGAGGTACCACTGTATATTATTACATTCCAGCATTTGGGCTCATAACAAATATAGTATTTTCCCTTGAAGAGTAACTTGCTAGCTGTATGGTGTGTTTCAGCACCAGGAAAATACAACATAGTATTTTAAATGGTGTTTGCTTTCTCTAATATGTCTTTGAAATACTGAAACGTCTTAGATTTGGAATGAGCGGTTCAAACCTACTTATCTTGGAGTTGCCTTGTACGGCTAGGCTTCGCTGCATTGCCTTTGAGAATTATGAGTTCATTATACTACTGCAATGTTAATGGCACTTTGTTTTCTTTAAATTTCTTCTTCATATTTATTTATTGATTCTTCATTTGGACACAATTTCCCAGGTAATGATGGCACTGAATAGATGGAGCAAGTTAATTTGTAGAGGCCCGGCAATAGTGTGCTGCCTTCCGTTTCTGTCTGAGAACAATTATGGTGGTAGAGTTCAAATTCAGAGGCACCCAGAACTCTAAAATACTCCAAAGAACAATAGGACAAAAAAGTCAGGTTGACATTTTGGTTCTTGGAGCATATTACTAGGGCTCCATTTTCACTCTTCCTGTGCTTCCTCCAACCTGATCCTTTCCTCATAGCACTCCGCTGCATACACATTCATGGTCATTTTCCTTCTCAGTTCTGTGGGGTCATGGATTTCCATGTTCTCCTTCTCCACCCTTCAGCCAGCCTCTCTCTCTCCCTGCACTTCATTGCATTCCACTGCACTTCCCACTACTCTGCCATGTTTCTCTTGGTGATGAGCCGCCATCTTGTTCACCTAGAGCCTGCCACGTGTGTGGGACCCGTTCTAAAAGCCCAGCAGAGAAAGAAGTGGAACTCAATGTACTGATGCCTTCCCCACAAGCCTGCAGTGTATTATGGGACACCAGGGTCTGTAAAAGTCCTATCCCATCTCATGTATTGGCGCTGTCAGGTTGTATTATCATCCAAATTAAATCTCTACAGAACAAGATGATCGTAACCAGCAGGACTATGCATCAGGAGCAAAGGGTATCTGCTGCTGCCAACAATGGCTAAGTTCTGAATAGAGGACGAAAAGCTTGAACCCAAGGGACTGCTCTTTACACATAATTTCCCGCCATTTTATGAATATGCACTGCCCGGTCCTGGATGTAGTCTTCTGATGTATGGAAGTGCTATTAAAGCACTATATTTTATATTGTTGCAAGTTTCCCTGGTGAAGGATGGGTGATAATTACTGCTACTGTAAAGATAACTATCTTATTCTTCATATTGTTGGAAAGGTTTTTATTTTAGCAGAAGGGTGGATAAAATAAGCAAGTATAATTTATAAATGAGGGTGACATTTGCCACCTGATATTGTAAATTATTATATTATTATATATTGATAATTTTAAAATATAATCCTGTGCAATTTTCATGTTCACTGTACTTCCCTATGCACTTGGTGATGAGAGGATGGAAAAGTAGCTTACTTTAAAAAGATGAAAGTGGTTTGACTGAGGCATCACTTACAATATGACCAATACACATTTAATTGTCCCATTGTTGTGTCTGTTGAACCTGGTTTTGCAGGTTTTTGGATTAGCCGAAAACCTGCAAAACCTAATTATTAGAGGCTTCTTATTTTTAAACTATCTTTAATTCTCTGACAAACTACCGTCTGTCTCTGCAGTCTAACCTGAGCTATATTGGATCCATACTTGGTTCTGGTGGACTAATAAACAAATACTAGCGAGCTGGCCACTTTAGATATAATTTCCATTTTTACATCTAAGCGTGCAGCCAGCCAGCATCTTTTTAAAATGTACTGAAGTAATTTAGGCATCTTCTGTTTATTTCCAATGGCAAAGCTAACACACCGCTTGGTTATGCTGGGTTGAGAGACATAATTAAAAGCCAATAGATCGTGAAAAATTGCAGGCTTATCGGAGCAGCCGAGCCAGATGAAAAGCAAGTTGAGCCATGGCATGTTTGCCATTGAGGTGTAGCAGAAAGTGCATTTGGAAGAACGCTTCATATGCTGCTTCGAAATGGTACTTTCCTCATGACCAGCTTCTGGAACAGATTATCATGATTGTAGGAAGCACTTCAAAGCAGATTGATGTGGTAGGATATTTCACTCAAAACTTTGCCTTTCACAGAACAGAAACTGCAGATGCATTCGCAAGCTGCACAGGTCCAATAACAACACTTATTTGTGTTTTTTTAAAAAAGGACCACTGCAGATTCACACTATGCAAAACATAATTTTAGATTTGCCAGGAAGGAAGAGAAGAAGCTGTCTTAGAATATGAGGTCGGTCTATTTGCCCTACTCTCTGCAGGGGTTTGGACAGAGGCCTTTCATAATACCAGCCATTTGGACCTTTTAACTCCATACGATTGAGCATGGGACCTTCTGCTTGCAACGCATTTGTTCTTCCACTGAGCTACAGTTCCTCCCTCTGGTGGGAGGGCTAGTGTTGCCGAGTCTAGTTGTTGTTGAGTTTGTGCTTAACTTGTGCCTGTGCTGCTCTGTGGTGTGGCGTGGTGCAGCCATGATGTAAGGCAAGGGAAGGTTCAGGCAGGACACCAAGTAGAGCCTAAGCAGGACTCTGGGAGAGGCAGAAATCACTCTTAAAGGAACAAGTTGAAACTGAGCCCTTGTATAGTAATGGCAACAGGTGCAGCCTGATGGTCAGCACAAATTGTGCTGCAAGATTCGGCCCAGCCAGTGTTAGAAACTGAGATGTGAAACTAGGAGCTAAATGGCACCTTAACCCTAGTTTGTGGGTGCAACAGCAGAATAATAATGTTATTTTTCACATGGTCTAGTCCTTCCCCTGCCCAACCCCCCTAATATTCTTAAGACGGTCTCTTCCCAGTCTTCAGAGAGTAGCTGGAAGTGAAGAGGCAGAAAAAGGTCCTTTCCTTCCACTCTACAGTTTTAATTGAAAATCTTAGGCGTAGTACTGCGCCTAGAGCTCAGATACTGCTTGTGCTCATGAGATTCCCTGTCGTAAAATGCACCTAGAACAATGGGAGTTTCAGACACTGGGCCCAGCCTTCTCTAGTAGTCTCCTACTGCAGTGGAGGCTCAGGTCTTGCAGGGTATGCTGCAGTGGAATCCGAGGATGGCAGTGCCTCATCCTCAGGCCAGGCAGGGGGTACTAACCCCACATGTTCTTTGGGTTAGCAGCACCTATAGGCTCCTATAGCACCTATAGGCTCCATGCCCTTCAGGTTTGGAGTCCTCATCTCTATCTGATGAAGAGGACTCCACCTTCCAGTCCCTGACCTGGTCTGGATTGTGCCATTTCACAGTTGAAGTTGGGACCATATGAGTGAAAGTTCCTCCATGTGAATTATCTCCCCAACACCTAGAAAGTGAGCATGTAGGGGAGAAGGCTATTCGTCCGGTTAGTAGTTTTGCCACTTTGAAAAGGGCCTGGGAGCCAAAAAATGAAGGAGCTCAATCTCTGCTCTACACATCAAAAGGAAAATGTGGGTTTGCTATAGACACAAAGCCAGGCTGTGTTGGGTTGTGCAGGATACTGGTGTCTGCTGGTAAATAACCAGTGAGGAATGCTTGACTTGGCTGCTGCAACCTTTGCCAAGGAAAGTAAGGCAAGTGCAAAGAGCAGAGATGTAAGCTTCTTTAAAGGTGGCTGGTGGTTCATCTCAGTCCCAACCTAACTTTCTGTTGCAGTGTTCAAAGCGAGGATGACAGAAACTTTTTATATATACAAATTCCTGTGGTGCCATGTCTGAGTTCTCTTGCCTAAATGAAATATGCTTTCGGCTGTTTTTGCTCAAGCTGTTTGCTGACATTAGTTAAATCCCCCTAGGACTAATGTTTACAGATGGGAAAAGTAGGGGAAGTAATAGCAGCTTAAGTGATTTGCTCAAGGCTGCCCATGGATCAGTGGCGGAGGATTAACAGAGGCCTGGTTTCAGTCAACTGTGGAAAGGAATTGTGCCTTTTTAGTTTGGTGGAACAATATAACTGGAGTTATTTTCTGTTCAGGTGAATCTGTGTTGTTTACGATAGCAAATGCATTGTTAATTCAGCATAGACATATATCCATCCATCCATCCATCTACCTACCTACCTACCTACCTACCTATCTCCAAAGAACGGTAGTAATGTGCCTCGTTACTAGATAGACGAGCTATCATACGCTTTGGTAATTTTTAAAAATATATGAATAAGGCCTTTAATTGTCTCTTTAAAAAGTTGCAGTTTTGTTCAGTTGCATGTCATGCTGGTAAATCACCCTTAGTTCTCTTTAAAACCAAGCTACAAATATTAATTTTTCCACAATTTAATTATTTTAACATTTACTGCGCATGCTTATGCACAGTGGGCTCTGCCTTGATTATTAATAACCATGCTGTGCTCTTCTGTACAGCTGAGAGACCCCTAGTGGTTGATTTATTTCACTTCAACTAATAGTGTACCATTGCTATTTCTGTTCCCATGTGGCTGCATCCTATCATAGAATCATAGAGTTGAAAGGGACCATGAGGGTCAACTAGCCCAATCCCCTATTGTTGTATGTCGCATACTTAATTCCTTACTTTTTCCCCAAGGGCGCTTCTGCTTATACAGTAGTGGGGGAGAGGGGCTGACTGGTTTGGACAACTTCATCAGGGACTTCTTACTATTCATATTCCAGGATGCTTTGGGAGAAATCATGACAACTAGACTGGTATCAGACCAATCTAAATTTGTAGTCTAGATATGCCTTTGGTGTTTCAAACTGCTTTCTCTTGTTCTACTGCCTCCAAATAGCCATCAGCCAAAGGTTTCTCAAACGTTGGTCTCCAGCTGTTGTTGGACTACAACTCCCATCATCCCTAGCTAGCAGGACCAGTTTTGTTCTACTTGGTTTCTTCACATATACAAGCACAAGTTGCATATTGAGGGAGAGGCAAAACACTTCCACTGGGTAGCAGATCTCCTGCCTCAGACTGGCTCTTCGTAGAGAGGCACTTGGCCCCCTAAGCTGCTCTCAGCCCTTGACTCCAAGCTCGCTTTTACTTCTGCCTCAAATTGCTGCTTCTGTTTTTATTATTCTACTTAAAATCTAATTGTACATTCATATATACCTCTCTGTAAACTTGTACAGACATGTACATTCATGTAAAAAGTAAGCTAGCAGGCTAATAAAAGGGGAAAAGAGGGGAGAGAGTGAATTTGTAATGAAGAGGAGGAAGTTTATGTTTGAATATTACACTGGTAATAGCTGTTGCAAGACATGGTAAATGAAAGCCACCTTTTGATGAACCTGTTTATGTGGTGTTTATAGTCTGTCTCCCATAGTAATGTTAGATAAAATTGTGATGTTTCATCAAGCTGCTCTTTCCAGGCTTCACACTTCCCCAAATTAGTGCCCTCCTGTTGTTGCTGGACTACAGCTCCTGACCTCTGGCCATGCTGGCAGGGGCTGATGGGAGTTGGAATCACCCAGTTGGAGAACGCTGCTGCGCACCCACAGATAGCTTACATCAACTCCTCTTCCATTAGCTTGGGGTAGGGAATTTGGAGATTGAAGAGAAGGTTCCAAGTTCTGGTGAGTTTCCCATTCTGGAGAAATTCTGTATACCAAGAAACTATCTCCTTAGCAAAGTTTACTTTAAGGAACATCCACTAACTATCACACCCTCCACACTTAACCCAGGCTGCTAAGAAATCTTAATGTTGCTTTTTTGAAAAAGCTGAAGCTGTGGTCAGTTCTTTCCTTAAAACAACTTGTTGTGAAAGACTCGACCTCATCTTTATCACATGCTTCTGAAAACATGGAGATACAGTGGCGGAGCTTCATGCTTCGGCACTTGGGGGGGGGCAGAGAGCAGGAGGGGCGGGGCACGGTGCCCGCAGGGGAGTGGGGCGCGTCCTGGGGCGGAGCGTGCCGCCTTTGGGGGCATGCTGCCCAGTGTGTGTGTGTGTGGGGCAGCTGCAATGGCACCCTGCCGGAATCGCGCTGCCGGGGGCGGTGCGCTCCCCGCGCACTCCTCTTCCTCCGCCAGTGTAGAGATACAGTGCTGAGATAGGGAAGGTTTGCCTGCTGAATATGTGCCGTGCAGGTATTTTAAGTTGCAAAACTTGCATTACTGAAAAGGTAGCCCCCCTGCCTGTTTTATTTGTTGCACTGTACCTGGAGTGGTCAGGTTCTGTTTACATTAGTTGCCCTCTCTGTCTTTTTGTTGAGCGCATGTTCATCCTGACGTTTGTGGTGTAGTGGTTATAGTGTTGGATTAGGACCTTGGAGACCAGAGTTCATAATGAAGCTCATTGGGTGACCTTGAGCCAGTCACTGCCTCTTAGCCAGGCCTACCTCACAGGGTTGTTGTGAGGATAAAATGGGTGGCGGGACGGACCGACCATATTTGCTACATTGAGCTCCTGGAGTAAAGGTGGGAGCTAAATAAAACAAATGAATGAATGTAGATGCTCCCTTCCTCTCCAATATCATACCTGACTAGTTGCTTGGATAATAGATATTTCCACTGCAGCTCCTTCCTGACCTTGCCACTAGTTTAAAACCCTGCTTAGAACTAGTTTTCTTTAGCACACGTATATCCTTCAGCAAGTGCAATGTAATCTACTGAATATGTAGCATTCGTGTGGATCCATAATTCATATTTGTTCTCAGAGTCAGTGGATTCCTCTGGTGTAACCTGATTTCCTAGTATTTGTTTGTTTAATAAACAGCAGAATAAACAAGTTGGTGGGGAGCAGCAGTTGTTAGGGTTTGTTGTCTTCTTTGAGGGTTAGATAATAAGCACACGGAGTGAAGGCTGTCATTTTTCCCTCTTGTTGCCAAATAATGGACTGCACTAATGCATTCACAGTCTGAGGATCTCCAAGCAGTGTTTAAAAACACTTTAAGTTGTTATTCAAAGAGGGACAATAGCATCCTATAAACTGATGAGGAAGCACGATTCACATCATGGGCCTCCTGAGGCTTTTTTGTGCTGCGTGAGTGTTCATTGCCTCCCTGGGCTCTTTCAGGATGAAGGGTGGGATATACGGTAAATGGAATGAATGAATGAATGAATGAATGATGCAATATATTTCTCTTCTCATGCACCCCCTGGCTTATACCTTTTCTGTGGTTTGCCATGTGTTCATTGTCTACTTTGGAACCATTTTGAAAAAAATTAGGGGTGGCTCCCTGACATAATCCCAGCCAATCAGGGTTCAGATTAGGCAGTGAAATTCAGTCACATTGGCTGCATTACATTTTATTTACTTATATTTTTATTATTTTTTATATATTTATAACCTGCCTTTTTACCTGATGGGACTCAAGGCAGCTTACAAATGTAAAAAGAGTAACTAAAAAAGTAGAAAATAATAATAATTAAAAAGCAATTAAACATTAATAGAATTAAAGCTATATGCATATAACAAATGTGTTTAAAACATTCCAATAATTACAATAAAAACAGCACCACTTTATTGGTTATGAGACAAAGCTGGATCCAGGGTAAAGACAGAATTGGCTGCACACTATTGTAAGGAAGCTGTCAAGATTTGGTTGCATTGTGGTGTCAGAGAACCAAATTGGTGTGCGAGCGATCCTTACCCTAATTTGAATGGATAGACCTTTTTGCCCATCTGTGAACAGTTTCTTAAATGGAGGGTGAATTTTTTTGGGTGTGATTTTTGAACAACTGTACATAATTCTGGAAACTTTGACATTTGGCATCCAGGGATTTCATATGGAAGTCATAACTGAGCAATGCGAATTGCAGAGGCGGTACTCTTTGTCACTGTGAATTGTGCCGCTTCCTTTCTCATAAGTAAAAGGTAGAAACCAAAATGCTACTAAGATGTCCAGTGCTGTGCTTCAAAGTACAGTGGTAGCCGTAGCTCTTTTCTCCAATCCACTTACTATAATCAAGTTAGTAGGGCTGCTAACAGACCTCCTCTTTGGCCTTCAGCATCACCCAATTCTGCAGTGATTGGCAGGCAGAAAGCTGTGGTTAAGAATACATCTTTCCACAATAGTTATTTGATGCCTGTTTTCAACTTTTTACATAGGATTTTTACTGTCTGGTTTTATGTAAACCACTTTTTCTTTGAAATTGTATTATAGTAATATTTTAACAAAGAATAACAGTGCTGAAGCACTGTTGCATGTGTTGGGTCAAACATTGGCAACGCTACTAGGCAAGAAATTGCAGCAAGCTAGGCAGACTGATCTTGGGCCCAGGGGTGGGGGTGGGAGAAGAGGAAACAAATGTCACCCTTCCTTATCCACTTACACTTCACATTTAGGGCTTGCTAGGTTCTGAGATGCAGTCTGTGCTTTAGAGGCGCATCCAGAGTATACATCACTGCAGCGGCTATTTCTTTGTATAAAAGAAATGCATACAAAAGCCTTTGAAGCAATAACAACAGTGAACTGGAATGCACTCACACAGAAAGTGTTCCATTACAGTAAATTCTGTGTGTGTGTGTGTGTGTGTGTGTGTGTGTGTGTGTGTGTGTGTTGTGTGTGTTATAAGAGATTCTGGGTCAGGGTAAAGAGTAACAGAGCATGCTGCACATTTGCAGAAGCAGCTATTACCACTTTGTGACAGGTGGAATTGATTTTGCAGTTAGGTAAGAATGATTCCAGTGTGGCTTTATTGAGCTCATTGGCACCTGTTACTAGCAATGTTAAAAAGGTTAAATGCTTTGCTTGTTAAAGCCGGACATGGCCAACAAATGGGAGTAGGCTAGAAGAACAAAAGGAACTGTCTGTAATAATCTTTCTGGAATGAGTCGCAGGAGCAGAGGACCTGGCTGATGTATTAGAGATGTTTGGTGATGCTGTCTCGGTTCAGGGGCTGGACTGTGTGACCCCTGACACCTAGCCAACTATGTTCAGTTATGTTCTGTCGCTTGGCATTTTCAGCGCAGTTCCAGTTAAATATTGGCTGTCAAATAGTGTACTGTGGTATTCACAGACGTTAATTCCCATAGTGGGTTAGTGCTGCTGCCCTGCAACCTGGACACTGGAATGCGCACTTTGAAATACCCTGATACACTCAGACCAGATAGTCAGGAGTCACCTTGTCTGTTTCCTGTCCTATCCCTTGTCTGCTGTGGTGCATTGTGCAGCGACTGAAGGAGGATAATAGATGACAGGACTGTGGGCGGAATGAGCTTTTCATACCTTGTTTTTAACATAGCACCAAATTAAATTGAAATGCATTTGACGTCTCTCTGCGTTGCAAACTGGAAAGGGCTACCTTGGATTCTACCCAGCATGCACTGCTCCTTTTTCACGTTTACCTTTTTCTGGGTGACGCTGCATTAGAAAAATCTCTCTAGATTTGGCTATACTTTTTTCTGATTATTGCTCTGTGGTGCTATGTACAATAAGAGACAGCAAAATTGGAAGGGTTATTGATAAGCATTCCAGCTTTGCTGTTCTGTGATCTGCACGTATGTGGCCATTCCAATCCTCCTAGTCCTTAAGGTTAAAAATCAGAGTGACACCTGCATTTCCCATATGAGAGTGACGACCAGAACCATTGGCAACTTCACATATCTTTGGCTACCTCGGGCCCACTCTTCCAAGCTGAACAAAAGCCACCAATACCAGCACTTTCCTAACACTTGTTTCTAGCAATTGAACATTTTATGGATGCCTTCAGTCTGAAGATCAATTGCCTTTGCACACAGCTTTGACAGACTCACATTGCAACCTTGCCAAAGGTAAGGGGGTCTATGTCTGCACCTGTCTGGGAGGTTACTGTGAATCCTATGTACGTTTTTGAGTTCATGCGGAGTGGGAAAGGGAAAAGTCAGTATAACAGAAGCCTGACAGCGGGATAATGTGCACAACGTCCCTCCCAAAAATGGTTGATGTGGCTTGCCATGTGTATCTTTGTGAACCAGAAACAAGTGGTCAACTTCTGTAGCTACTGCTGGCCACAGGCCTCAAGCTCACAGCTATTGAAACCGGGAGTGTGTGAGCTCTCAAGTCCCTTCTCTCTGTGCTGTACCATTTCCCAGATCCAAGGGACTATAAAAGTCTTGCCAAGTCTTCGGTTTTCAATGGCTCCATGTAACTCTGATTCCCTGAATCTGTCTTAGCATTGAAGTCACTCACCACAGTGACGTCTCCCATTCACTGCTTTACAAGCACTCGCCACAAAACTCTTCACTGTTCTGTGACCTTTTGATAGTTCCGTCTTTGCTTTGAGGTGGACAGCTAATCACTGTAGCCGTCAGTACACATGATGTGTCCAGGAGGTCTAAAATGCTATGTCCTACCTCTCTGCTACCACAGGTATGCAACCAGACTATTTTATTTTATTTTATTTATTTCTGTCCCACCCTTCCTCCCAAAGGAACTTGGGATGCCAAGCAACAAACCAGCAAAAACTAAATTTAAAAATCAAATGAAAAATAAAAAAATTAAAACACATGAAAGCTGTTCTCAGATTTGTTCACAGTATTAAAGCTACATCTCACCTTGGAATTGCTTCATGTTTCTTCTCCACCCACCACTCTCTCTCCAAGACTGTTGATTGTTTTCAAGGCTGATCTATATGGCTACAATGTATGATTGATATGAGTGATCTCACAATAGCAGAACAAGTGAAAGGGCCCTAATTCAATTTTTTAGAAAAAACAAGCTTGTAAAAGTTACCGTATGGGGAACTCCCGCAGGGCTCCCCACGCTGCGGAAGTCTGCCGGGCGCGCGGGGCGCTCTGCTTCAGGGCGCCCTGCGCGCCCGGCGGCAGGCTGCTATCCGCAGCCTAGACAGCCCGGCAGGAACTCCCGCAGGGCTGCCTAGGCTGCGGATGTGTTCCCGAAGCGCCGGGCGCTCTGCTTTCAGCGTGCCCGGCGCTCCGGGAAGCTAGCTGCTATCCGCAGCCTAGACAGCCCTGCCGCACCGCCCGCAGGGCTGCCTAGGCTGCGGATGTCTTCCTGAAGCCTGGGGAGCGCGTGGGGTCGGTGCGCACCGACCCCTCTCACTCTCCAAACTTCAGCGAAAGCCTGCATTCGCCCCATAGGACACACCCAGATTTCCCCTTCATTTTTGGAGGGGAAAAAGTGCGTCCTATGGGGTGAAAAATACGGTACATTGCTGTATGGTGAACTCGCAACTTGTGTGTGAGTAACATTCCAGGGATAGTGTGTATACGCAAAAACATGTACAGTCATACCTTGGGATGAATACGCTTCAGGTTAAGTATTTTCGGGTTGCGCTCCGCGGCGACCCAGAAGTAACGGAATGCGTTACTTCCATGTTTCGCCGCTTGTGCATGTGCAGACGCTCAAAATGACATCATGCGTATGCGCGGAAGCGGTGAAACGCGACCTGCACAGTTGCGTGTTACGTTCGCTTCAGGATGTGAACAGGGATCTGCAACGGATCCCATTCGCATCCAGAGGTACCACTGTATAGTCAACCACCCCTTTGAACCGAACCTTCTGGAGCTGCCACTCCAAATGTGTCTTACCCTCCAAGCAGTGAAGAGTGCTTTTAAACTCTTTGCCTTGCTTACTGGGCTCTGGGAGGTTCTTACGAGATCTTGTGGGGCTGTCCAAGTTCCTGCAAGATCTTGTGAGAGCCTTTCAGAGCCCAGCAAGCAAGTCTGAGAACTTAAAAGCTATTTCCATGCCAGGAAAACCCGGTGCAAAAAACAGCTTTTAAACTCTCCGCCTTCCTTGCATCCATTTAATTTGTGTGATTTCAACCGGCCTGTCTTCAGCCACAAAACGTTTCAATTGAATGTGTTAAACGTGCATAAGTTGCATGTTACCTGTATTATCAGAGCTGTTGTGAACAATCTCCCCAATTCCCTGTTTTTAAAGATGATTTTTTCCCATTGCTTACTGCTTTTTTTGTTTTGTTTTTGACATGGCAACACTTTGTGCTAAGTTTTAACATTCTTATTTCCTCATAGAATATAAGAAGCTGCCTTAGGTTGATCAATATAACCTTTTATTCTCTGCCCTGACTTGCAGTTACCCATCTGGGTTTAGGCAGAGGAATTTCCCAGATGTTCAGAGCACATCTGCTGAACTATGGTCCTTCCCCGTTTTTTCTTAGCCTGTACAATGCGAGCAAAAGTGCAAATCTCATTCCTTCTCCAAATAAACCTAGGTAACCAATATGGGCATACCTTGTTTACCCTCTGCTCTCTCTGTTGCCTCCCCTGTATTGAATTTATGATGGTTAACTCCGCAGGTTAGGGGCCTGTCTGTAAATTGGGAGTAGGGAACCCCTTTGAATCCAAGGGCTGAAATTCTCAGTTTGCAACCTTTCAGGTGCTGCCTGCTGCTGATGGGTAGACAAAGGTGGGTAAATCAAGGAATCAAAGTCTTGATTTTGGCACAGTAGACTAACTGTCATGCCATGCAAAAATCACAGGTTTGCTATCTTCTTGCCCCCACCCTCTCCATCCAGGCCAGCAGAAGGCATTATCACAGTTCAGGGACATATACCAGGCAGGCAGAAGCATTGAGGAGGGCTGGGGAGAGTCTCATGGCTAGATACAGTGGCCTGGGAGGCCACATTTGACCCATGGACTCAAGGTTCCTTATCCTGCAGTGAATAAGCCACATAAATCACATTGGTGGTGCAACATAAATAATATAGGGAGGAAACAAGGTTAAGTATGTAATCTTTATAAGGCAACATAATAGTCGGAGTTGGGAATTCCTTCCTACGAAGACAAATTTTTGAATTCCTTCCATGTGTTTGACCATTGCACTTCATTGATTCCACTACCTCGCTGTAAACCCTTGGTTTGCTGCCTTCCTCTTTGTTCTAAGGCTATTACTTGCATTCTGCTTCAGGAAAGAAAATAAGACATTTCTGCCATGAATGGAAGTGCCAGTGCATTACTGTAATTAGAATTGTAGAACTGTAGAGTCATCTAGGAATCACAACTAATTTTGGCTTGTATTGTTTTATTGTTATGTAAATTTTATGCATTGTAAGACACTTTGGAACACAAATTCTTGAGGGGAAGCAGGATATAAATCAAGATAAGGATGAGGAAGAAGAAACAGCAACAGTATACAGTACAAATCTTCCTTATAAGAATAGCCTTTTCACTTTTATGTTCTTGTGACATGTAAACAGCATGTTGCTATCCATTGTGGTACTTGGAATCTTCAGCTATTGAGATTGTTTTGCAACTTCAGGTGGTCTGTATTATAGACATTACACAGCTTAAATCTGGAATTGATCACACGACGTAGCACTCAGTGTGCAATTTCAACAATGTGGTTCTGTATTCAACTGACTGGGATCCATCCATCTGCTCTGAAGCAGCTGGACCACACTCGGTTAAGGGCAGGATGTGTCTCTTTCTCTGTCTCTCTCCAGGGGGTAGGCGTGCTGCTTTTGGTGTTCTCCATCTGCAAATGAGCATTTTGGCTGGCTGCGCTAAACCTCACTTAATGAGTGGAAAAATGCATATTGGGCAGTCATCAAGGGTCTACAGATTCGGTCACCGTGGTGACTCCCCCTCCCTCCCCTCTGGCAATCGTCCTTTTCTACATCTGACTCCACAGTGCACTTCAGAGACACATAGAAGCTCCAAAACACAATGTGTTTGACCTTGGCCTTTTAATCCCAAGCCTGGACTTGCACGATATGTGTGTTTGTGTGGCTTCCCAGTGTGTGCAAGATGACGGAGGGTGATGTGTGGGACAGAGCCCATGATAACCGTGCAGAATGCCTGGCTATACAAGGCCAGCTAACACATGGACTTGAGTTGTTTGATACCTTTGTGAGAATTGTAGGATTTGTTGGCATGATACATGATCTGTGACAGAGCAGCTGTTCTGGCATGAATATATATATATATATGGTGTCTCCCATCAGGTTTGAATGCTGTTACATTTGTATGTGCACGTTCTTCTAATGCAGGAGTCAGCAAACTTTTTCAGCAGGGGGGCGGTCCACTGTCCCTCAGACCTTGTGGGTGGCTGGACTATATTTTGGGGGAAAAATAAAAATGAACGAATTCCTATGTGCCACAAATAACCCAGAGGTGCATTTTAAATAAAAGCACACATTCTACTCATGTAAAAACACCAGGCAGGCCCCACAAATAACCCAGAGATGCATTTTAAATAAAAGGACACATTCTACTCATGCTGATTCCTGGACCATCCGCGGGCCAGATTTAGAAGGCAACTGGGCTGGATCCGGCCCCCGGGCCTTAGTTTGCCTACCCAGGTTCTAATGCATTGTCAGATCTGTTTCTGTGTAATGTATCCTGTGTTGTTTTTGAAAGCTGGCATCACAACACAGTTGTTATCACTAGGTTTCATTTTATCCTTTTACATCTGGGTTTTGCAACCCTGTATCTTTTTTGAAGTAACGTAGTCAGAGAGTCACTGAGTGTCTTCCATAAAACTGTTGTCCTTTGCAGATAGTTTGGAGGGGCATATTATTTAGGGTGCATGTTCAGTCCATGCTGGGTGCTGGCCAGTCCTGTTGGTTCTTACTGTTTCCCTGCTTGAACTGAGAGTAGGACCACAGACATAGCCAATGCTATCCTGAAGCTGTACATTTGGGCTGGCATTTGTGGTGATTTAATGTACTTCTGTTACAATGAGCAGAGGAAACACAATAACATAGGAATTAGCCTTATAATGAATTGACCTGGGATCATAAGCATGTAAGCAAGATGAATTCTGTTGCTGCTGAGCTATGGCCCTTCCCTAAGATGCCTCTTTTCATTTTAAAGAGGCTTAAACACATGTTGTGTTTTGTGCATTGTTCCAGTTGGTAGGCTTCCATTGGCCACTTCTCTTTTTGTAGCAGTAACTGGCATCCCACATGAGAAGGAGCCATTGTTATCCCAGTTTTTTTGCATGTTTATTGTAAAATAAATCATACATCAGAAATACGTATGTGAACCTTTGCTACATAAAATATTAATTGTGCCTGTGGAATCCACTCTGTTCAGCTGAAGGTAGATTGAGTTTTTTCAGAAAGAAAGCAAATGTTTGAATTTAAGTAAAGTATTGATATATCTGACATCCTTCTCATAATGGAGTCTTGAATCAATTTCCTTTCTTCTTTTAGTGCTTTGACGCTAAAAGCACAGTTTCTTACTTGGAGGAGTATGACTGATTTCCTATCCAAGAACTTGTTCAGATAGGATGCCTTACTGTACAATATCCCTATAGGGGAATGTAGGCACCAGTATGGTTCTGTTTCCTATATTGCGTGCTAGGGCCTTCTTGTAAGTACACGTTCACTGATGCGTGTTGATCCCTCATGGTTTGCATCATTAATTTTTGATTTGAATATGAAACACCTATTGTGGATCAAATACAGAGCTTTCATGTTGGCTGATATTTCCTCACATTTAAAACTGTTCATTTGAGGCAGATCACAGATTCAGCTGAGAGTTAATAAGTGGTGAGATAGATATTAAGGGATGTACATGCATTTGGGGGGAGTTGAGCATTGAATAAGAAGATATGCCTTGGGAAACCTGAGTTAAGCTAGCAACTATTGTATTATTTAAGGACCTACTTTTAATTTTTGAACATTTTGAGAGTTTTGGTAGCGCCTGCTAATGAGATGGTTTGCCATTAGATGCAGGGATGCATTAATCTGAAACTGTTTAGCCCAGTTTTCATAAGTGAGATTATATGCACAGCACACACCATTTTCTCTAAAAGTGATATACTGGGAAAGATAACTTTTAGGAACCAAGTCAGTAGGGTAGTGCAGCATTCTTTTATATGAAAAATATTAATAATAATATAACATCTTGCCAACATAGGATTCCTTTAAAAAATCCTCTCATTTATATCCTCCCCTGCCTCTTGTGAAGTTTTACCCATTTTATCCTCTCCTAACACCATGAGGTAAGTTAGGATGAAAGACCGTGGCTGGTCCAAGGTTACCCTGTGAGCTTTATCCTGCCAAGTAGAGGATTTGAATCTGGGAGCTGTCTTTTGCACAGTTTGGTGGAAATATGGAATACAAATGCCACAAATAATAATAAAAAAGTAGGACTTTGTCAAGTGCTTAAGAGTCAACAGTTTCGTCTTACTTCAATAATACCCCTCACCCTGTTCACTGTTCTTCACTGCCCCGCTCATTAGCTGTTTTGACACCATTAGAAAACTAACAACCTTGTTATAATATTGGTTTGTCCCAACCAATCAGGGATGTAACCAGCATGATTTTTAAAGCTATTTTTCCCCAGTTTAAAAATACTGTTTTTTACCTGTCCTTCATTAGAGGCCCCAGGGCAGGTTACAACAATAAAACATACAATTATAAAAACAAATAAATCATTGCAATGATAAAACACATAAAACTATTCAAAAAGAGGCACTGTTAAACTAGTCCAACTGGATAGATAGTGTTACGTGATAGCATCTTAAAGCCAAAGCAAGGAAACTACTTCCTGTCTTCATTATGAATTAGTGAAGACTTTAAGTCTGCTAGTGCATGAAGATTTGAGTTCCTCTTGTTGCCAAATGCAAGGTTATATTTGTTGCACGCTCAACCAAATAACCAAAGCAGTTTCATGGCTGGTAGTCTAGACCAGGCACCCCCAAACTCGGCTCCCCAGATGTTTTGGGACTGCAATTCCCATCATCCCTGACCACTGGTCCTGTTAGATGATGGGAGTTGTAGTCCCAAAACATCTGGAGGGCCGAGTTTGGGGGTGCCTGGTCTAGACTCTCAAGTGAGGGATGAATGGATAGATGGGGGCTGTACAAGAAAAGCTGTGTACGGACACCTGAGTGAAGAAACTGGAGCGGAGCCATGACAGAATCAGAAACTTTGTAAAAACAGACTCCATTGGCTGCTTGCGTCACTTCATCCCTGTTGAATTTTCAGACTCAGGACCCACTTCTAACCCAAACATGCATTTGGGGAACCGTTTCCTAATCCTTTACCATTTATTTGCATGGTAGTAGTGCTACTGTTGTGACTCACCTGGGATCAGACTGTGACCCATAGTGGGTCCTCGCCCCACAGTTGAAGACTAGTGCTCTAACACGTGTCCCTTGCACTCACAAAACAGGAACGTTCTGCCCCACTCATTTTCTTGGTGCCAGATGTTAGCACATCATATTTGCACACACTTCATTTAAACTTGCCAGTGGTTTCTTTTTTAGTCTGAAATAACAGGAATCAACAAATGAAAAAATGCTAAGTTGCTGTATATTAGTCAACCAAGTGATTAACATTACGGTACATGCAAGTTAATATATAGATACCAGACAAGTCACTTTATAATCTTTGAAAAATCATCTCGCTTCCTTGGCCTTAGATGCAGAGAATTGTTTACAGCAATTTAGTTAACATTGAACAGTGTACCGAGGCAGACAGCTTTTGACTTAAAATCTGATTAAAAACACCTTATTCAGTCAGTGATTAATTGAGTAATGTCTCTCACTCTAATCTAAATGTTTTATAACTACAATTCTGGTCTTCCAGGAAAAGGAGCAGTAGATAGACTTGGCAAAATGCATAGCTGCATTTAACATTTTGTTCTGTCATTCTGAGAAAACCAGCAAAGTGGGTTCTGACAGTTGATGAGCAAAAGGGACTTTGCTAGGGAGCAGTTCTATTAAAAGTGCATCTAAGTGACTTGCCTGAATGACATCACTGGAATGGCAAGTGATGTTGTTTTATATTTGAGACTATACCACCAGTTTACTGCAGCCGACCAGTCTATGGCAGTGGCAAGTACTCTGACACTGCAATCTTATGAACGTCTACTCAGGAGTAAGCTCCACTCAGTTTAATGGAATAGGGCATAGTCCCAGCTGAGTGAGTAAGCTGATTTCAGATAGAGTAAAACTCATTCCCTTCATTCTTGATTTCAAAACTGCACAAAATAAAGTGTGAAAAAGCCACAGTAAGAATGTGGTTTACTTTGGGTGGGAAACTGATATATTTCCCCATTCAGAAGGAAGCCTGCATTTTTCTACCTGCTAATGGATTATGAACCAGTGAAAAAAACACAAAAAAGATGCTCAGATGTAATTACTGTACATTTTATACAAGTCCTGAAAGCATCCGTTAGAAGCAGAGATCGTACATTTTCAGCCCATCAACCTAGTGGTCTGTTAGCATCAGCTCAGAGCTTTCTGAGTTGGCAAGCAGATGGTATCTTTTGCATTCCTCCAGCGTGCTAGCACTGCCAGTTGGATGTTTGAAAGGCTCATTAATTTTACTCACTGTTTGGCAGTAAGACCTTGCTTGTTCTTCTCTCTGTTCCTGTTTTCTGAAACCTGGATAGTTGTGGTTTTGTATGTTTGTTTTCCCCCAGTTGTAGTTTATTTGTTGCTTTGATATAACATAGCATTATTGGTTTTGCCGGGAAGCCAGAATGGAAAGTGGGGCTGAGCAAAGAGACAGTGGTTTGCATTCACTAGATTCAGAGTTATTCAACCTGCACAGTGGGGGGAAAAAACAAGAGTTAAATATGGTGTGGGTGCATTTTACCTTTCGCTACAGGTGAATGGCTTATTCAATGGCTGTGGGATATGACACTTTTCTGAAGTGGAAATGCTGGAATGAAATATGTGGAAATAATGGAAAGGCATTGTTATTGGTTGGATTGCCAAGCATATAGAACATGTCTTGCTGCAGCAGAACCAGCAGAACTTTTGCAAGAATAAGTCCTGTCCCGCTAACCTATTAAGGATTATTTGAGTCAGCCCACTATGTACTTGAGTAAACTTAACAGTCATGGAATAAAAGCAGAGGTCCTCTTATGGATCAGTAACTGGTTAAGGAATAGGAAGTAGAGAGTAGTGATAGCTGGGCATTGTGAGGAAGCTCAAAAAGCCTCTCCAAACAGAATGAATGAGCAGTAAAAATGGCAAATACAATTCAGTGTAAACAAGAGTAAAATGATGTACATTGAGGCAAAAAAATAATAATCCGAATTTCACACATATGATATGGTACAGTCCACTCAGCCTTCTCAAGGTTCTAACATTTTGCAGTGTGTTTAGACGAGGCATGTACTTGGATTTACTTAATGTTCTTCTTGCATATGTGTATAACAAAGCCCATGCTTTAAGATACTTGCAAATATTATTTTTCGTACATTTGCATCCCTTACTTCCTCGGTTATGGAGCCCAATGAGGTGTACGCTATGCCCAGAGGTCACCCATCCAGACACATGGTGGTAGTCAGCAATTATCACTCAGAGTAGACCCACAGAAACTAATGGAGCTAAGTTAATAATGTCCATTGACTTCGATGGGTTTGCTCTGAATACCACTCATGAACTGGACTCAGGCTTCCTTAGTTTCAGCAAAGTGATATCCTCATATGCCTTCAGACCATATACTGGGAAACACCACTGAAGGATTGTTGTTTGCCTACCTATTTAACTGCTAAGATATGCATTTGGAAAAATTGCAGAAGTCTTGTTCGCCACCTCAGCAGTTCAACAGATGATAAATCACACTCCTGGTGGGTTATTTTTTAATAGTTTAAGATAGTTTTTAAAGGTTTTTTTTGTGCAAGGCAAGGTTGGAATGTGCACTAATAAATGCGTGCATAAATCTTCCCCACATTATAGTTTTACTTTGGGAGCAGTTCTTTAAGTAAATATGTTAGCCTTGGACACAGCCCTAAGGCTACTATTGATTCAGTTGTACAGTCCAGCACTTATAAAAATGGAACTTCTGCCAATGTGTTGAGTATGAAAGGAGGGCACTGTGTGTTGAAAGAACAGCGGTTCTTTGTTTCACTGACCTAAAGTTGACTGGATAAAACTTACTTCACATGTTGAGGCAGAATCGCTTTCACAGAATCTACAAAGAAGCTGGGAAGGCATTTATCTTAGCTTAATTTTCTTGAGGGCACAGAGTAGGAGTCCAGGTGAAAATGGGGCTCATCCTTCTCTCTTTAAAGTAGGATCGTGAGCACAATCACTTCTGATCAAAGAAGTGCCTGTTGAAGAAATTGACTATGCTTCTTGCATTAACACAGTTTTATGGTGGCTGTCAGCTCCTACCTTTTGTCAGTGCAACTTCATTCACTCCTCTATCTCTCTTTCTCTCTTTCTTTCCCTCTTCTCTCTCTCTCTTTTAATGTGTCTCACAAATCAAGGTGAGATGGCTGAACAATTTTGTCATGTCCTTTGCTCAGACTTAAAAGAACGCTGTCAGCTATCAGTGAAAGGAAATTGGGTGGTTCTGGAGTTTTTGCGGACCACTTGTGCCCTGATTGCATAACGAGAGCATTGCTCATTATCTTGAGCAGAGTTGGTGTGACCAATGTCCCCAAGGCTGTTTCCTCAGGCTATTAGCTAGTGATACCCAGAACATTGCCACTTTCACAAAAAACAAAATGAAATCAGGTGTGATAAGCTTTTAGAGGCAAGGTGCCGCTATTTGTAAGACTAGATATACAGTATACTTGGCTAAATTTTGTGAGGCCATCATAGGGCACCCCTGAATTTCCCATTTCCGTAATGTTTTAGAAGGAAGCTGTGTTAGTACTATTTGATCTTCTCAGCCACCATCCTCATACTGGGCTGGTGTTGCTGACATTATATCAGGCTGTAGCAGAGGAATAGTAGAATCATAGAATTGTAGTGTTAGAAGGGACCACGAGGGTCATCTAGTCCAAACCCCTTCAGTGCAGAAATCTTTAGCCCAAGAAGAGGTGTTCTGAAACATGGTTTGATTCTTGTTAACTGCGCCTTTTCAGTTCTGTGTGGGTTAGCAGCTAGGCTTACGAGGAATAATTTTCATCAGCTAGAATTGGGGTCCTGAGATGTTCATCTAAGGTTCTGAAGGCCAAGATGGACCTGGATGATGAATGCAAAACAGGTGGGTAGACTACTTTGATGCCGAGTCAGTGCACTTAATTTGGTTCTGTGCTGCTGGGTTTTGTTGCTTTTTCGTGAGCTTCTGTGCCTGCTTCTTGAGGGTTCAGAACATTTCAATTAAAGATGTTCAGCTAAACGTTTTGTGGTTTGCAGAGTAATAGGAACATTAACAGTAATTGGAACATTAACTTTGCGGTCCATATGTATTCCTCTTCACACCACACTACTCAATTCTTAATATAATTTACTGTTATTAAAAGCCAAGCACATTTGGAAGATGTCATTCTGGAAAATGAAAGATTACCTTGGTATCTGGGTTTTTGCTGTCCATGTCAGCTGAATATTTCTCGTGTAGACTTCTCAGGAAACAATGAGTCCATCTCTTTACAACCTTCTGCTTCTCTGGCCAGTTGCTTTCCCAGCTATCTATAACGCAGTTGACAAAGTATTTGGATTTAAGTCTACAGTCATACCTCATGTTGCGTCTGCTTCAGGTTGCGTTTTTTCAGGTTGCGGACTGCTGAAATCCGGAAGTACTGGAACAGGTTACTTCTGGGTTTCGGCAGTCGTGCATGCGCAGAAGCGCTAAATCCCACACGGATCACATTCGCAACCTGAGCACAGCCTGAAGACTGTATTTGTCTTCTTCTGCAGCCACCACATTTCCTGTGGGTGAACTGGTGCTTCATTGTGGTACACACTTTCAAGAAGGGGCGGGAAACCTCTATGGCACTGCAGATGATGTTGGAATCCAATTCTCATCAGCCCTAGCCAGAACTGTCAATTGACATAAATGTTGGAAGTTGTAGTCCAATAACAGTTGGACAACAACGGCTTCCCCATCCCTGACTTAAATGTACATATTCTGTTGGCATGCACCAGATTCTGTGGGCAATAGCTGCCTCCTGACTGTTTGGAGACATCTCTCTTCTATTTTACTTATGATGTTGAGAACATACAAAACTGGAACATGCCTTCCAACCAACACACAATTTTCAACATAATTTGTCACTGGATCTAGTTTTAGTTGAAACATTTTCTCAGTGACTTTTAACTTTGTCTTCCTGTATCTGGCTGCCTTTTTTCTTCTTCACACATCTACTCCAAATGGTAATATACTCAGCACCTTCCTTCCTCTTCATTATAGGCCTTCCACATTTTCCAAGGTGGTAAGTACCATTGCATAGTAATCTTAAAGCAGTTTCCCCAGTACAGTGGTATCTTGGTTTACAACCATAATCTGTTCCGGAGGTCCGTTTGTAAACCAAAACAGGTTCTAACCCAAGGCGAGCTTTCACCAGTGGAGCCTCAAAAAAAAAAAAAAGAAAGAAAGAAAGAAAGAAGGCTCGTAATCCAAAAAAAGTTTGCAAACCGGGACACGCACTTCCAGGTTTGACATGTTTGTAATCCAAAACGTATGCAAACCAGAGTGTTTGCAAACCAAGGTACCACTGTATTGCAGTGTTATTGTGAAACAAAAACCACTGATAAATATAAACTTCCATGCTTCATCTGGGACTTCCATCTTTAAATCTCTATCCCACTTCCTCACATGCACTTCCCCATCTAGTTTCCGAGTATTCAGTAATACCCCATATATTTAACTTATTTTTCTCACTTGCTCCTGTTACTTCAAATTCTGTTAGTTCTTGGTTAAACACATTTTTTTCATTCTGTTTCATCAAAAACAATTTTACTTCTGTATATTGAAAAGATAGCAGTCTTAGTGCATTAACGCACACACCTGGCTCATATGCTACTACATTATTGTTTCGTACCAAATCTTAGCATCTGTCTATATTTTTCTGCTGCCATAATTTGAATTTCCATAGGTATCCACCTGGGTTTAAGCTTTCATACCTGATTACAGAACCAATTGGTGAGACGTTAGGTGCTAGTTAGGACCTAAATTTATCCCATGCTTCCAAATAGGTATTGATTATATAGTCCTCTCCTTTAAACATCATGCTCGCAACAGAAAACACTGGAAATAACCACTTGCTGACATAAATAAAAATAAAAAAGTTAAAATAGCGGTCAACTCCACAGGGATTCGGATATGTAATTTGGCACATTTTACTAGAGAATCTTCTGATATTCTATTTTATGCAACAAACAATCTTAGTAGTTGTGACCGTGGTTTATATTGTATGTGTGGTGCCTGATGATTTTTATGGTTATTGCTGTTTTTCCTTTTGTTATTTTTCTGAATGATGCCATGGCCTATGGCTAGCTCAATAAAAGTCTGTGATGATGATGATGGTGATAAATAAAAAAGCACCTCTTGTCTGAAATTGTGTTTTTTCAATGGAAGCCTTCACTGATGCAAGCTACCGAAAGGTGATAACTTGCTGGGACCATGACATGGAGAGAAAATGTTTAATATTCCCCTTCCCTGTGTCTGCTTCCCACCCCATGGACCTGAGGTTGCTCGGGCTTCCCACAGTTGCTTATTTACTTAGCAAAAAACATGCATGTTGATTGCTTTCATGTAATGGCAGCTTCATTTAGTTTGGCCATTAATTCCAAGAACTGAAGGAACTATTCTTACCTCTGTGAGTGTTGGAGTGCTGTTTGTGGTCACACACCATTCCGATATGTTGAGTAAAGGAGGCTTGCTTAGCTAGGACTCTGTTGCTCCATACTGTGGGTGGGAGGGAGGGATGAATAGACATTCTGTGGCTGTAGGTATTTGAGGGCTCTGCATACACATTGCTTTCCTCCAGTGGAGATTCAGGAGTCATGCTGTGAGGCATGGTTTCTTCCTCTGTAGTGAACGCTGTAGGAGTGCTTGTCCTGGCAGTGATGGTGGTGAAGATGCCCAGTTGAGATGGACTATGTCAGGAAGAAGTGTAAGCGATATGCCCTCCTTGTGTCTGCTGTTAGTGCAAAGTACACAAAACCCACATGCCCAATTGTCTTCTCCCCAGTTAGACATCAGGGCAGAGCTGTAACTCCATGCTTCTCATCTTGAGCTATGAACACTATACTCACCCATAGTCCTGGTTACTTGCTTTGGTTGGCTGGCACTTGTAGTGACCTCCAGTGTAGGGTAGTAATGCCATGCTATTATTAAGGGTGAGACTCAGTGACCACAGGAATCCACCTAAGCTCCATAACCTAGCTACCCATTGTGCTGGCCATGTACTACTGACATAACGGTTGTTGCATAACACCTGTGCCACAGTAACACCATTCTGATATAAGCATTGTAGCGCTGGCATAAGTTTGATCTGATCTTTGCCCAGCAGATGCAATCTGAGGATTGTACTGCAGACCATTGTTGCAATCTACCTTGAATATGGTTGTATTTGATTGACAGAAAATGTGATGATGGCTTAGTGGAAGTAGCATGTAAAACACATTGGTGGCATGATAATAACAATAAACATTATCCTCCTAGGAAAAATAACTACATATTACTTTCATTAAACAGTGGTGTTCTATTTTCTCCTTTCCATTTGTACAGATTTCAACATAGCTTCTTGAAATAGCTCTTTAAAGTGTCTATTCTCACCCCCACTCTGCTTTTTACGTATTGGAATATAATTGAACTGAATGAAATCTATGCAGGCACGAAGCAGCAATTACTCAGCCGTGCTTTTTTTTTTAATTCACAGAAGTAGTTTAATCCCCACCTCCCCGCTTGAACTCTAAACGCCAGTTGGTAGTTTGAAAGTATAGATCATTAAACTAATTAGGGGCTTTTGGAGTAATGTCGAGCAGTTTGACAACCTGCAGAAATACACAGATGCCGAATGGTGTTAAGAAGCACTATGAGAGTGTAGAATGTACAAATGTAACATTATTTGAAAAGTGAAGCCCCTTTGTAAGTTCACTCAACATGCTTTGTTCAAAAGAAACATTTTCTCTCCAGAACCAAGTTTGCCAAAATGTGTCTTGAGTTTGCAATGGAGCATGGCTGCGTGCAGTGATTGGCTGGCACATGGGATGTCACAAATTTTATTTTCTCCTACCCACCAGTATAAAAGGGAGATTTCTCAAGTATTTTTAATGAAACAATGTATGTGGGTTTTTTTCATATAAATAAGATGAAATTCATACAAATAACAGATAGCTCCTAGGGAGAAACACCACCTGCTGAGCTATAGAGCTATAGAGGTCCCTGCGCTGCTGAGACCACTGTCGCCATCACCAGCTGCAAAAGGAGAGTCCAGAAAGACCAGAAGAGCCATGAAGGAACACGCCCCCTGGCCAATTTTGGTCCCATAAGCCATTTCTGAAGACAGTCCTGGCCATGGGGAGTAGTGCAGCCACCCAGCAAGGCTTGCCTTGCAATAGAGTGGGGATGGCATGGACCTGCCCCCCAGCCTTGCATCTTCCATCCGGAATGGAACCGTTTCTAAAATAAAGATCTAAAATAAAGATACAAAAAGTTATATCAATAACAGCAACAACCCGCCCTCATAAAATGCCCCAGCATCTGTTCAGCAGCCTCAGTTTTTATAGCTGGAGTTGGCCAGGACCCCACCCTCCCAGGCCAGGTGGAAAAAGGGCTTGCAAGGCAGGAAGCAGGTCTTCCAGGACTCAGTCAAGACTCTGTGGAGGCGTTTGGCAGGCTAGGAGTACAGTGGTACCTCGGGTTAATAACTTAATTCGTTCTGGAGGTCCGTTCTTAACCTGAAACTGTTCTTAACCTGAGGTACCACTTTAGCTAATGGGGTTTCCCACTGCCGCCACGTGATTTCCATTCTCATCCTGAGGTACTACTTCCGGGTTAGCGGAGTCTGTAACCTGATGTCTGTAATCCAAGGTGTCTGTAACCAGAGGTACCATTGCAATAGCAATGGGCAGTCTGTCTTTGAAGACAGGTTGCCTTCTGTTTCATGAATCCCCGGGCTTATGTGCTCTCACAGTTCACCCATTGTTGGGAATTTTTCTTTTTAGGTGAAAGCACATGAGCATGTTTACTGAAGAGCAAACATGAGGCTGTTTATTTAAAAAAAGAATTTCCCATAGAATTGAAATTGGCTAGAAATAGAAGCTGCAATCTTGTCTAGTTATTTTCTCCCACTTCATTGACTTAGATTGGAGATGGAGAAGCAGTTGCAATTAAGAAAATGGTACAAATGGAATTTCCTCCTGCAGTGAAGCTCCTCCCCTGTCCATTAGATTTGAGCAATTAAAAAAACGATTGAAGCTATAGATTACAGCTGGTACTGTAGTAATGTAGTAAGTGAAAAGCTGCTTCATGGATACCCAGTTTAAGGAACATGGAGATATTCTAAATCTGATGTCTTTTGAGCCCAAATCTGGATTTTGGAGGCTTGGATTTGGGGTGTTTATACTCAAAAAATCTGATGTAATAAATTCAGGAGTTCAACAACAATAATGAATTTGTTTCATAATGTGAGATTTGTGTATGTATTTGTTTTCTCCAAACATGGGTAGTACTGGGGCATAACTTCAAACTAAGCTACTTCAAACGAAGCACCTTGGTGTAAGAAGAGGGAGAAAATACCAGGCTAGGAATAGCACCATGTGGTCCTTTGTGTAAAATTGTTTTGGAAATGCTAAGAGAAATCCAGATCCACTGGAAATCAATGGCAAAACTCCACCAGATTTTGTTCTTAAAAGGCTTAGACTCGCACCCTCAATGTGTAATTTTCAGTGAGGTTATTCTATTCACAATCACATGAAGAAAGCCTCTTCATGAAGTCCAGCTTTGTTAGTAACCAGTCAGAATGATCTATTTCCAGGGCGTATAAATAAATAAATAAAATAAATTCTTGTGTGGTCTTTTTCTTTAAAACCCTAACAAAGCAACAGTTCTCCATACAAATGATAGCCTGCTGGTGTAAATAACTGCTAACAAAAGGGTACTCTTCTGTTGTTGTTGTTGTTGTTGTTGTTGGTTGTTCCCTGGAGTTCTTGCAAGTTATTAGCAGGAATGTAGTACATAATGGCTGTTCCTCAGCAAGGTGTCACTGAATTCCTCTGGAGCTGATTTCACAGGTGAGATGGCAGGTGCTAATTCATGAGGTGCACAGTGCCTCTCGTCCTCTTCAAGCAGGCACCCAACAGATGCCAGGGCAAAGGACCAGAGCCCCAAGAGACCTGGCTGCTTCCATTGCTTCTGTGTTAGCTTTGTGCATTTCAGCCATGCCAACTTTGAGGGAGGCTCTGGTCCAGTTTGAGCTCTGGGGTGAAGCCAGCTGTGTCTGCAGGCTTTTCCTGTGTTTGTGGTGATGTCAGTTTGGCCCAGGGTAGTTAAACTTCTGACAATATTTCAACTAAGACCCTCTTTTATTCAGGGGCTTAGAAGCTTGCCATAAAAGTGTACTCCATGCTGGTGTTTAGGCACACAGCAGCCCCTCAATAAAGTGTCTGGGAGCAAGGTTTCTCTCCCTGGCCTCAGTATTGTTCTTGTCTTGCAGCCTGTTTGGAGGGAGATGAATTTTAAAACATCCTGGATTTAAAATAGAGTGAATTCTTTTTTTTTTTTAAAGGTACCCACCTGCATGTCTGATATTAGCACCTTCTAACATTTGCGTCACTTGCCATTGGTGTATGATTCATGTTAATTGTGAGCTGGTATTCTTATGTGGTTGCTCGCTAATTGAGACAGTGTTTGAAACTGGAGAATTCCTTGGCATTGTGTGTGGCTGGCTGCACCTGCTGTTCAGGATTTTAACCCTAGTGTACGCACATAAAGAATGGCTGAGTTCAGATAATTCTCTCGCTACTTAATAAGCAAGAGGACATCTCATCACGTTCCTCTGAAAAGCATTGAGGGATCTTCTAGAACGGCAGAAAATGTGGTGTGGGGATGGCAGCAAGACAAGGGAGTTGGCAAGATTTGGAAGGAGCATACTTTGCAAAAAGGGGAGTGCTAATTGCTTGTGCAAGTCACTTTGTGGACTCAAGCCAGTGATATCAAACATACATACATACATATTTTGATTTCTATGTCGCCTCTCCATAGTTAAAAGAACGCTCAAGGCAGCTTACAATGTGAAAAAAGACACACAATTACAAGCATAACAAAACACCAACCAAATCAAACAAGTGTACAACCAAATCAAACAATTTCCACATAAATAATAAGATCTGAAACAAAGATAGAAAAATTAGTACCAATAACAGTAACAACCTCCTGCCCCGCCCCCTGCCGCCAACAAACTCCCCAATAAACAACCCCCAAACAATTCCCGGACCCAATAGTTCTTTCTTCCTTAATCTCTGAAGAAAATTTTATGTAGGCTCACCTGTCATTTGCTGACATGTATTTTAAGGTTACAACTTTTATTTCTCTTAAATATATAGTGAAAATGAAATGACAAGTCATGGTTGTTGGGATTCAAGTACAGTATTGTGCTAAAGAAAAACCCAATAGACTGAATTTTGCCTAACATCCATTAAGTCACACTTTAGGAGATGGTTTTTCGTGTGTTTTAGTTATTCACCAATTGATTTTTGTCCTATCTTGATTCAAGAATGAAGGCACTAGAAACAGAAAACTAATGAAACTGAGAGGGGGGAAATGACACTTCTACACAGTGTAAATTTATTGAAAATGAAATCATGCACCATAAATAATTCCTCGTAAATGAAACTCTGCTCTATCTATCTTGTCTCGTAGGCACATTTTACACTGACTGTTAGATCTAAAGAAGCAAACTCTACCAAAGAAGATACATTTTATAATTAAATTTCTCATTAAGAGTTACCACAGCAGAGTTGGGTTAAAACATACAAACATTGGCTCTCTGTAGAGTCCCTGCATGTCTGCTCAAAGTTAGTTCCACTGATTTCAGTGGTACTTACACATGGATAAGTGTGCATAGGATCACTGTCTTGGTATTTGAGAGCCTGGGGATTTTGCATGCTAGCACTCTTACTGGGAACATTTTTATTTGAAAGAAAATGTTTATTCTCAGGACTGATGCCCTAAGTATAGCTCAGTTGGCAGAGCATGAAACTCTTAATTTCAGGGCTGTGAGTTTGAGTCCCATGTTGGGTGAAATATTCCTGTATTGCAGAGGATCCTTGTGGTCCCTTTCAACTCTACAAATCTATGATTCTGTGACCATTTAGGTGTGGTGTAGCCATGGAAGCAGAGGCAATGTGTGGACTGATTGCGTATCTTCAAGTAGGAGTTGTTCTGGTTTAAACAGAATGCACTGTGGGAGCTGCGCACAGTTACTTCTGTGAGTGGGGTTTTCCAGAAAAAGATGGATTTTGATTCCCAACCCCCTGCGTCTATGGCAGTTTACATCAGGCAGTTTTCTAATGCCCTAGTGCAGAGCTTTCCAAACGGTGTTCCGCCTGCAGTGTGTAGGTGTGTTGTGTGAACGCTCCCCGCAGTCTTCCTGGGGCTGCAAAGGGGTTAGTTTAACCTTCAGTTTGCTAGTAAAACTGAATTAATGTGTCGTGAAATGATGCGTGTCTAAAAAGTGTGTCACCAACATGAAAAGTTTGGAAAGCTGTATCTTAGTGAGGGATCTGATTGGGTATGTTTCTTTTCCTTGCATTTAGTAAAGGCTAAACAATGGAAAACTGCTAAGCTTGCTGAATATTGTCCGTTCATTGTTACTAATTAACTTATAAAATAGAAAAATAAAGTACTGGAAACGTTCAGTTTGGGGAAATTATCTGTTCCATATTACTGTTAGATCTTTAGAATCGTCATTCGTTGTCAGTTTGGAGCCTGAATATGGCAAATTTTCTCCTATGTATTTTACCTGCTAAGAAGTCATTGGATTTGGCAGTCATCTGTCCTGGGATGGATTTAGTTTATCCTGATTTAGATTGTAAATGACCCCTCGGGCATAAGAAGAGACAAAGGGGTTAGCCTGCTGCATGCAGGCAAGAGCATGTCTTGCGTAGGCAAGGGTGTGCTTCATTAAATGGCTGAAGTTGTGGTGACTTGTTGCACCTTCAGCAACCGAGTTCATTACTAACCCCAAATTGAACTCGGGTTTCCCGTGTCCCAGCCCATCACTCTGCCTGCTTGACCATGCTTGTGCTCTTCAGGATTTTACAGAAGTGATGCCAGTAAATTCTTCTTTTGGGCAGATTTCCATAACTTTAGAACAGGTGTGTTGGATGCAGTTTATTAGATGCATAATTCATCCACTTTCCTGAATGGGTGTCTAATAAGCAAACCAGGAGCACTTGGAACATTTGGAATGTCATTCTCCCTCATTTGTTTTTTCAACCTGTTTTGCTCTCTCGGCTCTTCCTACCTTGACCTCTGCCACATGAAGGGATTGTGTCTGTCATGGAACAAATTGTATCTGCATTCCATAGGTGAGTTCCATTTATGGGGAGGCACATGCTGGAAGAAAAGGAAGTATTTCATTTGTTATCTGCAGCTTTGCTTCCAGTGGAGTTCGATCCCCCCGCCCCAATTTGGAGGAGTTTCCATTCTTGTCATTTCCACCCTCCATCCACCCCCACCCTCTGATCAATAACTTCGTTCATTTCACTTATTTGTGTTTTAAAACCTATTACTTTCTCTTGTAGCGGAAGGGGGGGAGGAGAGATGTTTTATCATTCTGAACCTCCTTTATGCTCCACAGCTTACATGTTATCAGGATGTTATTTATTTTTGAGTCACCAACAGGAGTCTTACCCTCCCCCTCACGGTAGAACTGCAATTGCATGAATATTATAAAGAGCAAAAATGGTAGAAAAGCTAAGCAAATCACATTTTCTTTCTGAGGGTGTTGGTGGGGAAAGAAATAGGCTGTTTGCACCAGAAAGTATGTTCATGCCTTTCTGGTTGCTTTTAAACATAAATGGAAACTGCAGGTGTGCGCAGAGGGAAGAGGGAAGCTAACCCCATAATTGCAGTTGCTGTTTAGTGCAGAGGCTTCTAGTTTCAGAACTTCTTGCAGGTGTCCAGGACTAGAATGATTGGATTTTTGTGCCCGTGTGCTGATTTCCTTCTCTGCCTTGTATTTGGAAGCAGTGATTTGAGATGCATATTCTGCATTTAAAGCTTATCTGACCCTTTATATATCTGTCTTCAATGTAGTTGTGTATACCGTATTTTTCCGTGTATAACACGCCCCCATGTATTAGACGTCCCCTATTTTTGGGGATGCAAACTGAAGAAAATGGCTCCCCCGGTTCGTTCCCCCTCTTCTTGCTGTCCTTGTTTCCCGCAGGCAGGCAGCAATGTAACCCAGCAAAGCCTGAGGCAAGGAGGAGGAGGAGGGACGCCATTGCGTTGCTATGAGGTAACTCCCATCCTTCATACGCTCCTCCCCCTCCAGCCACGGACTGACTCGCTCTGCCTGCCTGCCTGCCTTCCTCACCAGTGATGGGCAGCTCACGTGCTTTCTTATTTATTGATGGAAGCGGGGGAGGGGTCCAGGGAGAAGAACATGAAGGTGGCAGGCAACGGGCAGTAGCAGCAGCAGCAGCTGAGGTGAAGTAAGGCGGTGAAGGCAGAGGACAAAGAGGGCAGTGAGCACAGATCATCTCCTCCTTTTCGTTATTATTATCCTTCAGTTCCCCACAGAGGGAATGGCTCATGCTGGGCCTCGGGAAGCGACGAACCCTTGCTGGGCACCTCCGGCTGCAGAGACGGCGACAAAGGCTGGTCTCTGGTGGCAGCACTGGTGACGCGGGATGCGCTGTGTCTGGAGATCACTCACCTGTCCGATCTGCGCTGTTGCGCGTGCGCACAAAACCCGCCTATCAGCTGTTCCCTTGCAGCCAGAAGCCGCAGCAACAGCAAATCCACACCAGCTCTTGTCTCAGCCACCAATAACACTGCTGACTATCTCAGGCTAGCAGAAGCAACAAATCCCATGACACCAAAATGCACTGACCATGGATAAGACGCCCCCCACCCCCATTATTTGACATTTGTTTTGAGGGGGGAAACCTCATCTAATACACGGAAAACTACGGTACCTATTGCAAAATAAAGCTGGAGCATTAAAAACACAGATTTTCAGCAAATAAAAATTCCCTGTTGGTACATAGGAGCTATAGGGACGCGGGTGGTGCTGTGGGTTAAACCACAGAGCCTAGGACTTGCAGATCAGAAGGTTGGCAGTTCGAATAACCCACGACGGGGTGAGCTCCCGTTGCTTGGTCCCTGCTCCTGCCAACCTAGCAGTTCGAAAGCACGTCAAAGTGCAAGTAGATAAATAGGTACCACTCTGGCAGGCAGGTAAACGGCGTTTCCGTGTGCTGCTCCGGTTTGCCAGAAGCGGCTTAGTCATGCTGGCCACATGACCAGGAAGCTGTACGCCGGCTCTCTCGGCCAATAAAGCGAGATGAGCACCGCAACCCCAGAGTCGGCCACAACTGGACCTAATGGTCAGGGGTCCCTTTACCTTTACACAGGAGCTATGGAGATAGAGGTTAACGTCTTAACATTTTCCAGAGTGGGTAGCCATGTTAATTGCTTGCACAAAAACAAGAAAACAAAAGGAAAACAAATATCGTGGAAACTTAATAACTAACAGATTTGTTGTGGACTCCAGAATGCCATCAGGTACAAGAGGCATTGCCTAAGTTGCCAGATACACATGTTTCTGAGCCCACAGACGTTGTAAACAGTGGGGCAGAATAATTATGAAATTATGAAATGGAGGAGGAGCTGTATGTGAATTTGTACCTCCTGCAATTTGGTTGACATTTTGCCATTTACAATGTTTTTATCTCTACCCAGGTGTGTGCCTGTACCTTAGGGTTAATGCCTAGATCCCGAAGCGTTGGGCCAGGCTTCCTTGATGGGAATGAGGTATCAGATGTGCCAGAAGAGAGAGGAGATTGTAAGCTTACCCCTCCCTATGAAGTCCACAGAGTTTTGTAGTGTATCAGATACTTGGAGGTAAATTGAACTCTGGCTTCTGATGGGTTTTTATGTTTCTTGATTCAAGGAAATGTGGCTTGATTTTAAACAAGGCCTTTTCAATACCCATCTTCGTTGGATCTAGCCAGGACAAAGAACTTCAGTAAGCACCCTTGTAGTTATGACTATAAACTCTGAGAACGTCCTTCTCCCACAATGAATTTATTTATCCTTTGCCCATTTCAGCGGTATGGCCAAGGCAGATAGAATCCTTCCCTAAAGGGTTGCCTGCTCTCTTTATTTTAATGGTCTCCTTGGAGATCCAAGACACAAATGTGCAAAGCACTGTCAACATTAGATAAGAGCTACCTGTTTTACACATGTTTGTTCATCTATTCCTTGAGGGAAGCTTGTTTTCCTGTTACAACTGTGTAAAATGCTCAGCATATTTTACACACATGAATGTGAGAAAACATGGAGTTGTTTCTTGGTTTATTTACTGAAATAACTTTAAATGCTGCTTCAACGGTTTTGGCAGAACCACAGGCAAATGGTTTAATTCAGGTGACAAGGAAAGGAGTCCTGAAAAAGTTTGACTTTAACAGAACATTCTGTAAATCTTATGTTTGATGGGGATTTCAACCAAGCCCTTTAAATAAATTTCCATGGCATCTTACAAAAAAAAAAAGGCAACCCAATAAAAACAGTTAAAACCACACAGTACTAAAAGCATCAAATCTAAAAAGATCAGTGTAAAAGCAGTAGCAGTGATACAACAGATTAGATTAATAGACAAGTCATGGAAACGATCTCAGAATTGGCAAGAGGCAAAGTTTCCGGAACAAAAGCATTCTACAGTTGGACACCACCACCAATAGCTCCTCCAGTGGCAGAGGTGCATGAGAACAACCTCTACAGAAGATCTTGGTGTATTTTGGTGTTCCAGGTGTGGTTACAGGCAGTTCATATGCTACCTGAAACATGTCGAGCAAGATGAAATGATCTCTCTTTTCACCTTGAAGCTGTCCGTAGCATGAGAAGCATTTTGTTCAATGATTTGGCATACAGTTGGTGCCTTTCAACTCATGGAAAGGCTTTTAATCCAGCAAATGTATTTGCATCTGTGAAAGAAGAAAAGAGAAGTTTTTTTCGGGAGGAGTGCAATTTCCTCTCTCAGCATTCCCTAAAGTCAGCCTCAGAGAATT